ATTTTAACAAAAATTGAATATATGGGGTTCTTTGATATGCTGAATCTAAACATGTATTTAGATTTTTGATTTTTGGCCCAGTTTTCAAGTTGGTCCAAATAGGGGTCCAAAATTAAACTTTGTTTGATTTCAACAAAAATTGAATATATGGGGTTCTTTGATATGCTGCATCTAACCATGTATTTAGATTTTTTATTTGTGGACCCCGCTATCAAATTGGTTCATATTGAGGTCAAAAGGGTCCAAAATTAAACTTTGTTTGATTTCATCAAAATTTAATTATTGGGGTTCTTTGATATGCCAAATCTAACCGTGTATTTAGATTTTTAATTTTGGGTCCCGTTTTTTAAATTGGTCTACATTAAGGTCCAAATGGTCCAAAATTAAACTTAGTTTGATTTTAACAAAAATTGAATTCTTGGGGTTCTTTGATATGCTGAATCTAAACATGTATTTAGATTTTAGATTTTTGGCCCAGTTTTCAAGTTTGTCCAAATTGGGGTCCAAAATTAAACTTTGTTTGATTTCAACAAACATTGAATATATGGGGTTCTTTGATATGCTGAATCTGACCATGTATTTAGATTTTTTATTTGTGGGCCCGCTTTCAAATTGGTTCATATTGAGGTCAAAAGGGTCCAAAATTAAAGTTTGTTTGATTTCATCAAAAATTTAATTATTGGGGTTCTTTGATATGCCAAATCTAACCGTGTTTTTAGATTTTTAATTTTGGGTCCCGTTTTTTAGCTCACCTGACCTGAAAGGTCAAGTGAGCTTTTCTCATCACTTTGCGTCCGTCGTCCTGCGTCCGTCGTCCGTAAACTTTTACAAAAATCTTCTCCTCTGAAACTACTTGGCCAAATTTAACCAAACTTGGCCACAATCATCATTGGGGTATCTAGTTTAAAAAATGTGTCCGGTGACCCGGCCAACCAACCAAGATGGCCACCATGGCTAAAAATAGAACATAGGGGTAAAATGTAGATTTTGGCTTATATCTCTGAAACCAAAGCATTTAGAGCAAATCTGACATGGGGTAAAATTGTTTATCAGGTCAAGATCTATCTGCCCTGAAATTTTCAGATGAATGGGACAACCCTTTGTTGGGTTGCTGCCCCTGAATTGGTAATTTAATGGAAATTTTGCCGTTTTTGGTTATTATCTTGAATATTATTATAGATAGAGATAAACTGTAAACAGCAATAATGTTCAGCAAAGTAAGATCTACTAATAAGTCAACTTGACCAAAATGGTCAGTTGACCCCTTAAGGAGTTATTGCCCTTTATAGTCAATTTTTAACCATTTTTCATAAATTTTTGTAATCTTTTACAAAAATCTTCTCCTCTGAAACTACTTGGCCAAATCTAACCAAACTTGGCCACAATCATCATTGGGGTATCTAGTTTAAAAAATGTGTCCGATGACCCAGCCAACCAACCAAGATGGCCGCCATGGCTAAAAATAAACCATAGGAGTAAAATGTAGATTTTGGCTTATATCTCTGAAACCAAAGCATTTAGAGCAAATCTGATATGAGGTAAAATTGTTTATCTGGTCAAGATCTATCTGCCCTGAAATTTTCAGATGAATCGGACAACGCGTTGTTGGGTTGCTGCCCTTGAATTTGAATTTAAAGGAAATTTTGCCGTTTTTGGTTATTATCTTGAATATTATTATAGATAGAGATAAACTGTAAACAGCAATAATGTTCAGCAAAGTAAGATCTACAAATAAGTCAATTGACCAAAATGGTCAGTTGACCCCTTAAGGAGTTATTGCCTTTTATTGTCAATTTTTAACCATTTTTCATAAATTTTTGTAATCTTTTACAAAAATCTTCTCCTCTGAAACTACTAAAACAAATTTAACCAAACTTGTCCACAATCATCATTACGGTATCTAGTTTAAAAAATGTGTCCGATGACCCCGCCCGCGAACCAAGATGGCTGGCATGGCTAAAAAATAGTACATAGGGTAAAATGCAGTTTTTGGCTCATATCTCTGAAACCAAAGTATTTAGAGCAAATCTGACGGGGGATAAAATTGTTCATTAGGTCAAGATCTATCTGCCCTGAAATTTTCAGACCAATCAGGCAACACGTTGTTGGGTTGCTGCCCCTGAATTGGTAATTTTAAGAAAATTTTGCAGCTTTTGGTTATTATCTTGAATATTGTTATAGATAGAGATAAACTGTAAACAGCAATAATGTACAGCTAAGTAAGATCTACAAATAAGTCAACATGACGAAAATTGTCAATTGACCCCTTAAGGAGTTATTGCCCTTTATATTCAATTTTTTACAATTTTCATAAATTTTGTAAATTTTTGTAAATTTTTACAAAATATTTTCCACTGTAACTACTGGGCCAAGTTCATTATAGATAGAGATAATTGTAAGCAGCAAGAATGTTCAGTAAAGGAAGATCTACAAACACATCACCATCACCAAAACACAATTTTGTCATGAATCCATCTATGTCCTTTGTTTAATATGCACATAGACCAAGGTGAGCGACACAGGCTCTTTAGAGCCTCTAGTTTTAATTGGTCTACATTAAGGTCCAAAGGGTCCAAAATTAAAGTTAGTTTGATTTTAACAAAAATTGAATTTTTGGGGTTGTTTGATATGCTGAATCTAAACATGTGTTTAGATTTTTGATTATGGGCCCAGTTTTCAAGTTGGTCCAAGTTGGGGTCCAAAATTAAACTTTGTTTGATTTCAACAAAAATTGAATATATGGGGTTCTTTGATATGCTGAATCTAAACATGTATTTTGATTTTTGGCCCAGTTTTCAAGTTGGTCCAAATTGGGGTCCAAAATTAAATTTTGTTTGATTTCAACAAAAATTGAATATATGGGGTTCTTTGATATGCTGAATCTGACCATGTATTTAGATTTTTTATTTGTGGGCCCGCTATCAAATTGGTTCATTTTGAGGTCAAAAGTGTCCAAAATTAAACTTTGTTTGATTTCATCAAAAATTTAATTATTGGAGTTCTTTGATATGCCAAATCTTACCGTGTTTTTAGATTTTTAATTTTGGGTCCCGTTTTTTTTAATTGGTCTACATTAAGGTCCAAAGGGTCCAAAATTAAACTTTGTTTGATTTTAACAAAAATTGAATTCTTGGGGTACTTTGATATGCTGAATCTAAACATGTGTTTAGATTTTTGATTATGGGACCAGTTTTCAAGTTTGTCCAAGTTGGGGTCCAAAATTAAACTTTGTTTGATTTCAACAAAAATTGAATATATGGGGTTCTTTGATATGCTGAATCTAACCATGTATTTTGATTTTGGACATTGGACCATAAAAGGTAAATTAAAAAAATTGAAGTTCTTAGACCACATTCTTTCTGTGTCAGAAACCTATGCTGTGTCAAATATTTAATCACAATCCAAATTCAGAGCTGTATCTAGCTTGAATTTAGTGTCCATACTTGCCCCAACTGTTCAGGGTTCGACCTCTGCGGTCGTATCAAGCTGCGCCCAGCGAAGCATTTTATTAACCATTTTTCGTAAATTTTTGTAATTTTTTACAAAAATCTTCTCCTCTGAAACTACTAAGACAAATTTAACCAAACTTGTCCACAATCATCATTAGGGTATCTAGTTTAAAAAATGTGTCCGATGACCCCGCCCGCGAACCAAGATGGCCGACATGGCTAAAAAATAGTACATAGGGTAAAATGCAGTTTTTGGCTCATATCTCTGAAACCAAAGCATTTAGAGCAAATCTGATGAGTGTAAAATTGTTCATTAGGTCAAGATCTATCTGCCCTGAAATTTTCTTACCAATCAGGCAACACATTGTTGGGTTGCTGCCCCTGAATTGGTAATTTTAAGAAAATTTTGCAGCTTTTGGTTATTATCTTTAATATTATTATAGATAGAGATAAACTGTAAACAGCAATAATGTACAGCAAAGTTAGATCTACAAATAAGGCAACATGACCAAAATTGTCAATTGACCCCTTAAGGAGTTATTGCCCTTTATAGTCAATTTTTTACAATTTTCATAAATTTTGTAAATTTTTGTAAATCTTTACAATGTATTTTCCACTGTAACTACTGGGCCAAGTTCATTATAGATAGAGATAATAGTAAGGAGCAAGAATGTTCAGTAAGTAAGATCTACAAACACATCACCATCACCAAAACACAATTTTGTCATGAATCCATCTTTGTCCTTTATTTAATATGCACATAGACCAAGGTGAGCGACACAGGCTCTTTAGAGCCTCTAGTTTTGCTTTTTCCCTGTTATCTTGAAAACTATTGTAGACAGATAGAAACTTTAAAATGTAAAAATGATCAAGACAAGACTTGCAAATAGGTCAGCATACATGTTGATGAATTTGTCAGTTGTTTTCTCATATATGGCCCAAAAAAATAAAACATGTGTTTTACTGTAACCTGACTGATCCAAATTTTTAAGAGCAGACTAACTTTTTTTTCACTGAAAATTGGGCATATAGTATTTTTTCACTGATGTTATTTTTGACATCGATGTTCTTTTTGTTCAACTGCTAACTTAATGCCAAAATTTGTCAACAAGTATTGAGTAAAACCCAGTAAAAACTTATCTGACCGACAAAGCAACTTCGACAAATGGCTGCTATGACAGAAATATAGGTAAATGTAATACCAAATCTGATTCCAGAACCAGATAAGGCTGTTTTTGCGTTTGCCAATAAAAAAAAAAATTGCAAACTGACCAACCCTATTTTTCCCAAAAGGTACCAGTAAACACACATATATATTTTTTTTGGCCTAGGAGTTATTGCCCTTAAATGGTGATTTTTACCTTTTTTCGTGTTTTGGGCAAAAACTAGAGAAGATAAGGACAAACTGTAAATAGAAAACACATAGAAAGCACATAGACCTAGGTGAGCAACACAGGCTCTTTAGAGCATCTAATTTTTATGAAAAATATTTCTAAGGAGGAATTCTAGACTAGAAATTTAAAATCTTGTTAGATATGTTACATATTTTAGGTTTTACAGAAGGGATTGACATTGGAGGAACAAATTTTAAAGGAAGCCACAACAACTGTACAGCAAGCAAGGTTTTTACATGACATGTAAGATTCTCCACAGTGCCTATTTAGATGAAATAATACAGAAGATTTTTTTCCAGGACGCAAAGTATATATGAAAATCTTCCAAATGTGTTCATTTTATGTTTTAAGTTTACAAGCTAGAAAGTATTAATAGATTTGGTTTATCTTATCTGGTCTGAAGTATCAGTTTGAGCAATTGCTATTTCATGTAGCTTGTATGATTTACCTGTGTTTACCTGTAAAATGAATGCATGCAAATGTAATTCAAAGGTACACAGAATGTAATGATTTTTATGGGTAAATCTAATGGAAATGGGCACAAATGTAATGCACCTGTATGATGCCACTACTAAAAGAACTTTTCTCTGCAAAAGTGCAATCTGTATGTAGGATTTAAAGCAACTCCATTGGAAGTTGAATTTTAATTTTGAATTATACAAATGATGTTAAACCTGCTCGTAAGTAAGATTTACGAAAAATCTTTTTATGCCCCTGCCATTAGGAAGGGGGCTTTAAGTTTTACCCTTGTCCGTCTGTACGTCCGTACGTCCCTAAATTGGTTTCCGTTCTCTAACTTTAGTTTGCCTCAACCAAATGTTATGAAACTTATACACAATGCTTATTACCACAAAACACAGATCAAGTTTGAATTTAGGTGTCGTCACTTTTACCTTTCTAGAGTTATGTCCCTTTACAAATGGAAAAATTGATGAATTTTTTCGTTTCCGTTCTCCAACTTCAGTTTGCCTCAACCATATGTTATGAACCTTATACACAATGCTTATTACCACAAAACTCAGATCAAGTCTGAATTTGGGTAGCGTCACTTTTACATTTCTTGAGTTATGTCCCTTTATAACGCTATATGCAAAAAGGGGGGGGGGGGGCATCATCTGTGTCCCATGGACACATTCCCCATTTTTTTAGTCATGTTTAGTGTAAAAAGTAAACATTGTATTTTTATGCCCCACCTTAGATAGGAAGGGGCATTATGTTTTCCAGTCTGTGCTTCTGTCCATCACGGATCAGGTTAAAGTTTTGTATAAAGCATACCTGCCAAACCTCTCGGTTTGAGCGGGAGACTCCCGCTCAAATGGCGTAATTCGGGAAATCTCCTGCTTGCAGGTACCCTCCCGCGCGGGAGTATAGAATCTCCCGCTTTTGGATATTTTAACCTTGAATGACAAGTCAACATTAATTATGTTTTTGTGTCACTGATGAGGGTTGTTTTTACCTGTAAATCACAGACCATGTGAAATTAAATGGCTTCACTTGACAGCTTAGGTGTCAAACATAGTACTAATTAACGATCATTAACGACTTTTGCTTCAAGCTTTGTGTTATTAAAAACACTTCAAAGAAATTTCTGGTTACTTCCCCAGTTTAATCCTGTTTTAAGTTACCTTTCTTAAAATAATGTGAATTGATAAAACAATATATAAACTAAATACAAATTAAACAAAGAATTATAAAAGGATGGCAATTAAAAGATTTTGTATGCCTTAAGACAAAAAAAATAATTATATATTTTAAAAATCACTTAAAAGATCTATACTTCTATTCAATGTTTATATTGAAATTTATAAGATATGTATTGAACCAAATTTAGTGAAATATGTATGTGCACACACATAATGTATTATCTGTGACAACATGGTTGCTCTCTTATAACAGAGGTATCTGGGGTGAAAAGTTGTCCTGATGGGATTCAAATGTTAAAGATGATGAAATAGGAAAGAATCAAACAACACACATTCTGTAGGATATAACCATATTTAAAGAAACAAAGTATATTTATTAACTCTTATATGTGTTTTGTAGATGAATAAATAAACACGTCATATATTTCACTTGAAAATGTCGTTCGCGCAAAATCTCCCCCTCAGCTGTCATAGCTGAGAGGGAGATCTCCCTCTTTGAAGGATTCAGAGGTTGGCAGGTATGGTATAAAGGCAGTTTACAATGGAGTTGTGGTCACATAGACTTGAAACTTAGTAAATATATTTTCATTGTGATGTAAATTTTTTTTTAGATATATGCCAAATTAGGTTTTTTAACAATATTACGTAGGTCACTGATTAGTGATAAGATTTCATTTTAAGGTAAAAGTTCTGGTTAAAGGTAGTTTTAATACCATGAAGTTATGGTCACATCAAGTTACTGTGCATATTTAAAAGGCTTTGTCCTTTCATGATACCAATTGCTAAAATTCAAGAAATTTTAGTTCGAATTCACCACTACAAACTGATAGGTAAGTAAGTAATCTTTATTTAAAGTCGGGTTGCATATATACATAATAACAAGGAACTTGAGCTCTTAAGAGCTCTTTAACTGACTGATATTAATAAACAAAACATACATGTAATAACATCAGATTCATATACAACACAAACATACAGACAGCACATACATGTATAAATCATGTTAATACAGAGATAGCACATGCAAAATAAAAGCTAAGCAAGATATATATTAAAACAACTGTCAAATATCAGCACTTAGTAACACACAATATGTGTATCCAAGTAGCACATGCAAAATTAAACACTATAAAGCACAAGCAAAAGACTGCAAGCAGCTACAGCACAGGTAATGCATAAGCAAAGCAAATAAATAATAAAAAAATAACTGCAAAAAATAAAAAATAAAAAATAAAAACACAAAACAAACAGCAGGCTTCAAGGTCAAGTCATGTGGCAGCAAGGAGTTACAATAATATTATTTACAAGAACTGCAGGTACAACTTTCTGAAAAACACCAGGTGGAGATAAAATTTTTGAACTGGCCAAAAGTTGATAAGCTCCTTGCCTCATATGGCAAGGAGTTCCAGAGTCTTGCTGCCTCATAACTAAAGCTTTTCTTACCATACCTTGTTGTTTTTGGCCGTGGTATATCCGCTATGCCTTTGTACCTGAAGTTATATGACTTTCATAAACTGATAAACTGGTAAAGCATTTTAGCTCATGGCTTGAGTGAAAAGTTGTTATTGTGAAGCAAGTGCAGAAAAATAAAAATAATTTTTACCATCCTAATCCTTTGATTGACATGTGTTTTAACAAAAGCAAGGTGTTATTGTGAGCACCTAATTTTAAAAAACACTAGTCTGAAAAAGGATGACTTTGAATTATTACCGTAACTTCTACTTACTACCATTTTATTAGTAATTTGTTCTAAACATTGTTTCCATGGTTATTGAACTATTATCCTGTTTTCTAAAAATAACACTATAATTCATTTGTTAGATGAGTGAAATGAAGTAAAGAGACATAATCAAAGTTGTATGTATAACATAAAAGTTCTACAGTAGATTATATACAATGCAAATTACTTCCCTTTAATTTTAGTAGATCAGAAATTACTATAGAAAACATATCCAATTTCAAGTTTACAAGTACAGATATGTGACAGAGTTGTCAAGTCACAACTGGAGATTTTTTGTTGACATTTGTATCAATGCTTTCAGTGTTCATTTTTGTCGAGCCTGCGACTTTTGTCGCAGAAAGCTCGACATAGGGATAGTGATCCGGCGGCGGCGGCGGCGGCGTTAGCTAACTTCTTAAAAGCTTTATATTTTAGAAGGTGGAAGATCTGGATGCTTCATACTTTGTATATGGATGCCTCATGTTACAAAGTTTCCGTCAGTCACATGTCCAATGTCCTTGACCTCATTTTCATGGTTCAGTGACTACTTGAAAAAAAAGTTCAGATTTTTTGTAATGTTAGATTCTCTCTTATTATAAGTAATAGGATAACTATATTTGGTATGTGCGTACCTTGCAAGGTCCTCATGCCCGTCAGACAGTTTTCACTTGACCTCAACCTCATTTCATGGATCAGTGAACAAGGTTAAGTTTTGGTGGTCAAGTCCATATCTCAGATACTATAAGCAATAGGTCTTGTATATTCGGTGTATGGAAGGACTGTAAGGTGTACATGTCCAACTGGCAGGTGTCATCTGACCTTGACCTCATTTTCATGGTTCAGTGGTTATAGTTAAGTTTTTGTGTTTTTGTCTGTTTTTCTTATACTGTATGCCATAGGTCTACTTTATTTGGTGTATGGAATGATTGTAAGGTGTACATGTCTAGCGGGCAGGTGTCATCTGACCTTGACCTCATTTTCATGGTTCAGTGGTCAAAGTTAAGTTTTTGAGTTTTGGTCTTTTTTTCTAATACTATATGCAATAGTTCAACTATATTTGGTATGTGCGTACCTTGCAAGGTCCTCATGCCCGTCAGACAGTTTTCACTTGACCTCAACCTCATTTCATGGATCAGTGAACAAGGTTAAGTATTGGTGGTCAAGTCCATATCTCAGATACTATAAGCAATAGGTCTTGTATATTCGGTGTATGGAAGGACTGTAAGGTGTACATGTCCAACTGTCAGGTGTCATCTGACCTTGACCTCATTTTCATGGTTCAGTGGTTATAGTTAAGTTTTTGTGTTTTGGTCTGTTTTTCTTATACTGTATGCCATAGGTCTACTATATTTGGTGTATGGATGATTGTAAGGTGTACATGTCTAGCGGGCAGGTGTCATCTGACCATGACCTCATTTTCATGGTTCAGTGGTCAAAGTTAAGTTTTTTGAGTTTTGGTCTTTTTTTCTAATACTATATGCAATAGTTCAACTATATTTGGTGTATGGAAATATTTTATGATCTATTTGGCAGTCACGCAGGTTTTATTTGACCTTGTCCTCATTTTCAAGGTTCATTGCTCAGTGTTAAGTTTTTGTGTTTTGGTCTGTTTTTCTTAAACTATAAGCATTAGGTCAACTATATTTGTTGTATGGAAGAATTGTTAGCTGTACATGCCTGCCTAGTATGGTTCATCTGACCTTGACCTCATTTTCATGGTTCATTGGTCAATGTTTAGTTTACTTGGTTAATGTTAAGTTTATGTGACAGTTGTAATAAAGCTTTATATTTAGGACTATCAACATAATATCAATGATTAGTAAAGAAGGCGAGACATTTCAGCGTGTGCACTCTTGTGATACTATAACAATATATTTCCC